TCTGTTCAAAATATATTTGTATAGGATTAAGGGTCTTGGTCTGAACACATTTTATATTGATATTTATGCTATAATCCTAAAATTATCATTAAAACCAACATTAAGAATATTCACAAAATGAGTAGTATATCCATAAAAACGGCAAGATCTTTTTTATATTTCAATTATTTTATCAGCATATATTTATCCTACTGAATTATACCTTGAGATCCAGATCTAAGATCTAACACATCACTCTGATGTGTTTGAGTATTAATGCATGCATTCATTGAAAATAGTAGCAAATGTTTCATTTCCCTATTTAGGAAAGTAGTACACAACTTTACTATTTCCTTAATGAACACTCTTTCAGTGTTTTTTTCCATTTCCACCTTCCAAAAGCAAGAATAAAATTCATAGAACTGATCAAACAATAGCTATTACTTTAAAAATGCTTGGATTATCTGAACTCTGTCTAATGCAGTCTTCCCAATTTGTTTCTCCCCATGTCTTGAAATTTTGATTTCTAGGGTTCTTTTGTCTTGGCCAGGAAAGATATGGAAGGTAATGGAACATGGAAGGTCTTAGCCTGCATTTATCAATTTACTCGGAAAAGACAGGTGAAGTTTACTCTGTAAGTAACTCACAAATTCAGTGCACCAGTTCAGAATATATATTGTGACATGGGTATTGAGACTGAGTGTAGAAGGCAACTTATCTAATAAAATATAAGATAAGACAGTGAATCAAAAGAAAGTGTGTGAGCTTCTCTTATAGATATTACTTGTCAGTATTTAATGTTACTTGACACATCAATACTTTGTTGTCATTTCTGTTCTGGAAGGTATTTGTGTATTTAGAAACTGTGGCATAGGCATGTTAGAAATCAACAAGGTGAATGAATTCCTGATGTTCCTCAAAACAGAGTAATTACTATGCTGATCACTGAGCAAAATAAAGGAATGTATGTAAACATTACAGCTTCAAGTACCAGGCAACTAGTGCTATTTTTAGAGTGGAGAAACACAGATGATCTAGTGTGGGGATATATGCATTTCCAGGATAAGGTGATTGGCTTCACTACTTTATGCAGTAGTGAAGGGTAAGGGGCAGAAATCAGAAAATTCAAAGTATATATTAATTAGCTAGGCAAGCTAAAATTATAGAATAAAGACTACCAATTAAATATATCAGGAGTCTAAATATTACTGGTGAGACATAAGCTGATGTTATATATAGTGAGCCTATATGACTGATTAAAGAAAATTGAGGATTCCTTCCAGTCAAGATGAACAACATGTAGATTTCATAGCAAAAATAAGGAATGGCCTTTTCTGGATGCGTTTTCAACTTCCCACTCTAGTCCAAAGCACTTGAACTTTCTGGTGATCTCCCATTCAACACTAACCAGGCCTGATCTTGCTTAACACTTGATTTGAAAGCAGGCCAGGTACTACTGTCTGACTGGGGCATCACTGGTTGTATAATATAATTCACCTTTTAACTCAAGCAATATGAATAACTATGATAAATAGCTATGTTTATCAAAGAACAGAACAAGTTTTAAATAAAGCAATGGTAAATTCACCAAATGTTTCCTTTACCAAAGCCTCTGAATGTTGCTCCTTTTTCTTTTCTTTATTTTGTGTGTGTATGAGATATTGAATCATCCAAAAACTGCATTAAAAAAATCAATATTGAAGGCCATTTAGACATTGTTACAGCATTCTTTGTGGGTTTTGTAGTCCTCCATTAAATGGACAATTTATGAAGTCAAACTAACTTCACTGAAATTTTGGCATCTTAACTGGATACAGGACTGTAGCCTCAGTCTTTAATAAAATGTAACTATTAACATAATATAGAAGAAGCCATGGTGGCTCAGTGGTTATAATGCAGTATTGCAGGCTAAGTATGCGCACTGCTGGGAGTTCAGTTCTGATGGGGCTCAAGGTTGACTGCCTTCCATCCTTCCAAAGGGTGGTAAAATAAGGATCCAGATTGTTGGGGGCAATATGGCTGGCTCTGTAAACTGCTTAGAGGGGGCTGTAAAGCACTATGAAGTAGTATATAAGTCTAAGTGCTATTGCTATTATACAGTAGAATTTTTAAGTAGTGAATTAAAAACATATGATCAGCATAAGCAGATGTTCTGGGTTAACATAGGGCTCTATTTATTTGCATTATAATATTGTGATAAATATGTATACTTTTGTTTAGGAAGCATCTTTAGACAAATCTGATCTATATTCTTGACAAGATATTCATCAAACCACATAGAAGAGTCCTTTTGCAGATTTACTGCAAAAACATAGTTTTATATGCATTACAAAGCTACAACAGAATCAGTATTATAATTCTTGCACACTTTGTTTTATATGCAGATTGGGGGAAAACAACAGGAAGTGATATTTGTTTTAGCATAGCAACTTGAATAACATTAATATCTTTTCATGCATATTGTTAATCTAGTGTGTGGGATCTTCTGATACCTTCTTGCTGCAAGATTTGGCATACAATCAAGAAGTCCTATGTTTACACACTTTAAAACTTTGTGGTCAATTTTATCAACTTTCTGGATGACATTTATTTATACAATTTATATGGCTATCCCACTCATGAAATGTAACTCTGTACAGCTAACATAGGAGTTAAAACGAAACTAAGACTGATGCTCATTTTTCTTTTTGCTGGAGTAAAGATTTCTGTTGCTGAAATAAATTCCTGGAAATACAATCCCTATGTTATACCCAGCTTTGATCAATCAAATGGAACACATTTCCTCATTTATATAACTAGCATCCACTACATGGATTACAAGAGAATTCTGCATCATATGATCTATTCTACACTCTTAAATAGCCTGCCAATACTGCAACCAGTTTCAACCTCACTAAGCTTAAAATGCTAGTGATTCACAACAAATGTTCTAATTCAAACATGCTTTAATTCAAAATGCAGGCTCCAGTCATGCTACTAGCTATTTAGGACCAATGAACACAATCAGAACTCTTCTACACTTGAGCCAAACATGAAAGGGAAAAGATGTAGAATTATGTTATCAATGCTAGGCCTTCCAGTGATAATGAGTATTATAAGAATTTTTTATATGAAAAGGATAGGCCCTGCTGCTAAGCAGTATCGGTGTATTTTCTATCCTTGCCTTTAACAAAAACTGTGTGTAAATACACTGTGACTAAAGATATATTCCATTTTCAGTCTGGATTGAGAAAGCAATGCAGTCATAGCGGAAAACAAATTTCTAACTTGTTTAAATACATTTTCTTATGGTTTTCACTTAAGACAATAAGTATTCAGAAACCTTGAAATGCCAAATTAATTGCAGAATCAAATTTACTAACAGACTGATTTAAAAAGCTGCTAATTTAACACCCAAAGAAAACATGTAAGTTACTTCTACTATGAAATAACTTAACCAAAGTTATTAAATAACTGAAGCAACAAGCAGCCTTAAAATGTCAATATTTTCTTCATATTAATTTAAAATATTAGGAGCTACTTAAAACCCAGGCTGCATTACTTTAACCACTGCTTTTAAAATAAAACAAATGTCAGAGAAATATTTTTAGCATTGGCTTTCAAGTGAGCAGAGAAATATATTAATATGAAATGAGATTATGACATCTCAAGTATCCATAAATTACAACAAGATCTTTGGAGAGAGCAAGTCAGCCCAAATGTAACATATACCAAATACAAAGCAAGACTTAAATACAATGTATTCTGTGCTGCTGCTTTATGTTTATGAGATGCAAACTAAAGTCAGAGAAATAGATTTCTGGCTCCTTCTTCCTTCCTGTACAAATTCAAGGTAAACATTAAGCTAAACCTATTACTGCATAACGCAGAGAATTTGGGAGTTTTGTTGGTAGGAAACCAAGAAAATTACTACACTGTCACAAAAATTGTAAAAAGTAACCAGCTAACTAGCAGCCAAGACAAAACAGGCTGTCTGTAAACAATACACTTCACTGGAAAGTACATGATTACATACATCTCCTCGTGGAAATACTCTATGCTTTACAATGAACGACTGCAGATTTTAAAACCTAAACAATACAAAATTAAGACACAATTTAGCAGTTACCATCCTCAAAGGCATTCTTTCTTAAGTAAAAGTGTGGTCTCTTTGGAGGCTGAAATGATGTAATACTGAAAGTAAAACAAACAAACAAAAAACCTCAACCTCATCTTCCATGAAAAAAGAGCAGAAAAAACTAATAATTACTAATATTCCCTGCAGTAATTTAGCCATTTGAAGCTAAAGGCTTTTGAGAAAATGAGCTAAATTAGAAAAATAGAGAGTTGTTACCAACACATCAGATTAGGAATATTTTTACAGAATATGAAGGGCAGTGAAAATAAAAATTCTAAAACAAAGGATAAAGATCACATTGTTTGAAAAAATGTATTTCTTTTAATGATTAAAAAGGATGGTGAAAAGGTAATCCAGACTACAGAAGAAATCAAGCTGTTGTTATACATCATCAGCACAAAGGAGTCGAGATTCCTTTGTTTTACCCCCTTTTAGCATCAGTTAACGTTTCGGCCTGCTCGCTCACCTCGGCAAATTAGGAAACGCATTCAGAGTTTCAAGAAGCACGTATCTTTCCATGACCTTTCACACGCTGCTAAGGCAAAAAAGAAAGGAAAAAAAAAAAGAGACAGATTTCCCATCCGAAAGCTCCCTGACAAAAAGCCTTCCCTGATCACCATCAGCTTTTCGCTATAGAAAGATGAAGACAGGATGTGGAAATATTCAGCTCAGACGCCTGAGCAATTTCCATTTTGAGAAAGAGGACAAAGAACGTGCAAACGCAAAACCTACATAGAAACACAACAGGAGGCTAAAAACAAACGGGGAGGGGGGGAGTGGACAAGGAAGGAGAAAACGGCGGCGAGGAGGAGGGGGAAGCAATTCTTCCTGCTCTAAAATTTCCTCCCGTTCCCCCTCCCGCTTTTCCTCCCCCCCCTCCCCGATCAAACCGATACATTCTTACCTTGTACGGACCGAGAGCCGGGATAGTGACCCGGTATGAACTGGTGGCGTTCCTCGGTACCGCGTTCTCCTCTTCCTCCTCTGCTACACCAGGTAGACAAGACACCGCCGTTGCCCCTTTCAGAACGGCGGCGGCGGCGGCGGGGGAAAGGCTGTAAATCAATCACCTCCAGGAAAAACAACCCTCACCCGAATGCGAGGCAGGCAGGCAGGGCGGGAGAGCAATTCTGCAGCGGAGCTTTTGGTAATCCTGCCAGCGGCTCGCGCCAAAGCGGCAGCCGCCGCGCGCCTGCAAACCCTTGGAAGGGGATGGGGCCAGGGAACAAAGTAGCTCGCCGCCTTTGTGGCTGGGAACGAGGCGGAAGGAAGACAATTCCCCGATCAACCAACCTCGAGTCTAGAACTAGCCCTCTGGGTCAGCGGTAGCTCCACCACACATATACATAAAAGGGGGCGGGGAGAGGGTGATCTCATAAAAACGCACCGCCCTCTGAAGGAGTATGGGAAATGTAGTTCTTCAGGCTGGATGGACCCGCCAAGCGTGAACGGTTCTACGCCGGCGTGGCGGGCGCCTTTAAACATGAATGTAGCGATTAATTAAAACGAGCTAGCTTGGCTCAGATGCAGTAAAGCAAAGGGGAAAAGGGTTACGAAGACTGCTTCACAACGCGATTCAACTACACAATATTAACTGTAAGGCTCACAAAACATTTGGATGTATGAAGCGAAATATTGCATGCGCAGCATCGTTCCTCCCATGACTTTTAACTTTTTTTTCCCCCAGGGATGTTTATTCGAAGACGGTTTGGGGTGTTTTTTTGTATAACAATGCTGTAAAAGGAATGCTGCGGTATGGGACACGTCCATTTCGAGAATATATTATCAAAGCAGCACAGTTAAGGCATATGATTCCATTTATTGTGGAAGAACCTTCCAAAAAATGGATGCAAGTTGAAACTTTATATTTATTACATTTTTGTCTCACCTTTATTGCTTTATAAGTAAGTCAAGGTGGCAAACATCTAATACACCTTCCTTCTACTACTTTCCCCACAATAAGAACCCTGTGAGGTGGGTTGGGCTGAGAGAGAGTTACTGGCCCAAGGTCACCCAGTTGGCTTTCATACCTAAGGTGGGACTAGAACTCAGTCTCCTGGTTTCTAAGCCAGCAACTTCACCACTACATCAAATTAACGCTCTATATTATAAATTACACATACTATATAGTTTATATAGATCTATATAGAAATTATATTAGAATCAAAGAATTTAAATCAGTGGTATTTTCAGCCCTAACGTGCTACAGACTGAAAAAGTTATGCTAAGACTGAAAAAGCTTTCACTAAAGTAATGCTTCAAATTTGGAAAAGTAAATATGTAGCTCTGATAAAGGATACCTCTTTAACTCCTTTAATAACATAGACAGGTAGTCCTTGACTTACAATAGTTCATTTAGTGACCATTCAAAGTTACAACGGCACTGAAAAAAGTTACTTATGACCATTTTTCACATTTATGACCGTTGCAGCATCCCCATTGTCGCATGATTTACATTCAGATGCTGGATAACTCACATTTATGACGGTTGCAGTGTTCCAGAATCATGTGATCCCCTTTTTCCACCTTCTGACAAGCAAAGTCAATGGGGTAACCAGATTCACTTAACAACCGTGTTACTAATTTAAGAACTGCAGTGATTCACTTAACAAATATGGCGAGAAAACTCATAAAATGGGGCAAAACTCACTTAAAAAATTTCTCACTTAACAACATAAATTTTGGCTCAATTGTGGTCGTAGGTTAAGGACTACCTGTATAGTTCAGGGCAGTCACTGCTCTGGTTAAAATAAAACTTTTGAGAGAATGCAAACATTACAGACTAAACGATTTTAATAGTAACAGGAACTTAACAATAAATATCAGAAAGAGCAAAAAGTAGATGAAATGTTACAATAGTGATTAGATGGTTCTTCTGATAACAACTCAAATCTCTTTTGGGCAAAAGGAATATTAAAGCTTCAGCAATTCAACCTTAACATCAGTATTCAGAATTTAATACTTAACTACTTAGAACAGACATGTCAAACACAAGGCCCGGGGGCCACGAAGTGGTTTCATGTGGCTCGTGAAGCCATCCTGGAAACAGTGAGGGAATGGCTCCCGCTGCCTTGGCCCTGACCCAGGCCGGCCGGGAGCCAATGTACATCTATGCTGAAACGCATTCAGTCTTAGCTCCACAAGGCCGTCTAGAAACAGCGAGGAACCAGCCACTGCCAGGTCGGCCCCACCCCCTGGGTGCATGCTGGGGAGGTGTCACCCTTTGTGAGGAATGAAGAAATGCACCATCGCCTGGAAGTGGCCAGCAAATGGCCCTCGCCTACTTCACATATCCGGCTTGATGGGCTCTGGGGGAGGGGTTTCGGCAGGCAGCGGGGCGCTCTCTCACAGCGCCGAGAGGCTGAGCTGGGCGGTGCAAATCCCAAAAGAAACACAAGGCCGCCCATCTCCCAGCCTGCCTGATTTCAGCAGGCAGCGGGGCGCTCTCCTCACAGTGCTAAGAGCTGAGCTGGGTGGCGCGAATCTGGTCAGAAGTGCAATGCTGCCTCGCCCCCAGCCTGCCCGGTTTCAGCAGGCAGCAAGGTGCAAAGCTGGCGAGCTTCACACAGCCTGGCTCAACCTCTCGGCGCTGTGAGGAAAGCGCCCCCCTGCCTGCCGAAACTGGGCAGGCTCGGGGCTGGACGGCATCACACTTCTTTTCATATTCACACCACCTGGCTCAGCCTCTCGACGCTGTGAGGAGAGTTCCTCGCTGCCTGCCAAAACTGGGCAGGCTGGCGGCTGGACAGCATTGAGCAGGTAACATTAATTCTCAGGCTGCTCATGGCATCCCTTCCCCCAGAGCCCACCAAGCCAGATATGTGAAGTAGGTGAGGGCCATGTGCTGGCCACTTCCAGGTGATGGTGCATTTCTTCATTCCTCACGAAGGGTGACACCTCCCCAGCTGCATTTCTTGCCTGTTTTTCTCCCTCCCTCATCTCAAATATTTTCCCACCACTCTGTACTTAGGAAGGAAGGAAGGAAAGAAGGAAAGAAAGAGAGGGAGGGTCTGAGGGATGTCCTGCCTTAGTCCTGCCCTGCTGCTCTTTCACCATCCCCTTGTCCCCTCTTCCTGGCCTATCCTGGGGGTCTCCCATCCTATTGCTAAGGAAGCTTTGGATACAAAGCCGGGTCTCCTCCCATGGAGAGGGAATGGGCCTCCCTCTGATTTTGCCCTCGTACCCATCATGAGCAACCTGGGTAAGGAGAGCAAGCACAGCAGCAGCAGCCTTGAGGAGGAGGTAAGTGCAGCTGGACACCCCCTTGGGGAAGTGGGGCTGGGCTTGGTGCTGTGGGTGCTCAAGAGCCAGACTGGGTGTTTGACCTCTGCTGCCCAGGGCTCCGGGCAGCCTGCACCCCATCCAGCCCCCCCCCCCCCGCATGGCCTGAGAGGAACAGTGAGGCTTCTTCAGTGGACCATGCACTTGCCCTGGTCCCACCCCCTTCTGCCAGAGACCCTCAGATCTGTCCCACTCCTGCCCAGGCCCCCACAGGCACCCTTGACGTGAACGATGTAGAGCTGGCCACACCTACCCAGTAGGCCACACCCACTCCATCCACACCCACCCAGTAGGCTGCACCCACCCTGGTCACAGCGACCCGGCCCCCCGAGGACAACTGCAATGCTGATGCAGCCCTCAATGAAATTGAGTTTGACACCTCTGACTTAGAACAGTCAAAAGGAACAATCTCAAAAAATATAAATTATTATTGCAATTAGAAATAGGAGTTTGACCCCATGGTTTAAAGCAAGTTTAGGATACTAATCTTGGTAAACTCATACAGGTAAGAGTTATGAAAATTGGGTGGATTTGCTTCAGCTTCAATGCAAGAACTGCAGTGGAAAATTGTATGTTGCTGGCACTTGATTCTTTTTAGATTTGCACATGTATATATATCAGAATTAGTCTTTCAAATGTTGGAGAGGTTATAAAAAAGTTTTTATTTGTGATGGTATACACAGTATACCCTTTTTGCATAAAAGGTTTGGACATTATTAAATAATAATTACAAGTTATTATTGTTAAACAAATAATTGAATGCTCCCTAAAGTTAGGCTTACTACATTTACTTTTAGGACCAAATTTCAGGCTTAAAAATAAGGAATTTATTATTTACTCAATTTTACCAGTTGAAATAATAATTGCCCAACACTGGAAAACTCTAGATAATATAACAATTGTGATATAGATTAGTAAGGCTTCTTCAATTGCTACATTAAAAGAATCATCACAAAATTAAAATAAGGGAACATCTGAGCCAGGAACTATAAGTTTATCAAATTTGGGTAGATTTATAGTATTATTTTAATAGCAATAAACCATAATATGATAAATCTGTATGTGTATTGTATCTGTCTTTTTATTTACTTTTCAGTAAATTTGTATTTTCTATATCTTATTTCTTTATGCATCACAGACTTATGTCATTTAGTTATTTGATATTATTTATTAATTATAATTCAATTATTTTTAAATTGTGTGAAAGGAGGGTTTATATAGTGAAATCAGTGATCCAGCTTTCAAGATTCTTATTGGAGCTTAGGTGAAGTTAATATGTTAAAACTGAGAATAGGAACTATTCCCAGATTTTAAAATTAAGAGAATCTCTGTTTTCTGGCTAGCACTCCTGAACAAAGTTGCAGTTTGGAGTTGCTCCTGGATAACCTCCTTTTAGTTATACCCCAAACGTATATATTCTTGAAAACCAGACTAGCTGCTGTGTTTTAGGCATTGGCAAACACAAGATTAGATTTCTGTAGTGTGTTTTATTCAAAGGTATGAGATCAATTGGGGTGCCATGCTACACATATACAGTATTGTGAACTGGTGGCACATTGCTGCCAAGCCAGCTTCAAGCTATCCAAAGTCCTAGCAACTCAGGATTGAGTTATTGTATAAACCATCTCACTTCTGCATTGTTTATATATTTTAGACTTTCTTGGCAAGTGTGTTAATAGCTAACTCATTAATCCTACATAAATACTGTTTTTAACTGTTACTTTATAGTAGCTTTTCTACTATAGGAAGTGGAGGAT